GGGGTCGTCTTATATTCGGGGTCTAGACATTATACCCATTCACGACGCTAGATGGCGCCAGATATCATTGAAGCGAATGCTGAACTTGACTCCCCAGGCCAAAGTGAACCCCTGTCACGAAGAATAAAAATAAAAATAGCGGTAGCACGAAGAAGAAAAATAAAAAATAGCGGTAAGAAAGAAACGAGAAGAAAATAATAGAAGAGATAACAGAAAATGGAGAAACGTAGCGACAATCTGGAGAAAAGTGGATCGAAGATCAGCCATGTTAACCGGCAGCTGAGAAGTTTTGATTAGTAATTTACGTTTCAAAAACCGGAAGCCATTCATTTACGAATGTCATTGCACTTTAGTTTACATATTTAAATGTTCAGATATTAAGATTTGAATGAGGTAAAATAACATGCTTTTTCTCTCGAATATATTGTTATAATCATTTGTTTCAGATGTACTGTAATTATTTTCTTATAAAAATTAATTTGGTGTTCAAAAAGTCTTCTTTCAAACTTTAGTCTTGAAAAAGGGGGTCGTCTTATAATCAGGGCCGTCTTATATTCGGGCCAATACGGTACAAAGGAAAGCGTTCCCACCAAAAGCTGATAGAAGAAACCGTCTACGAGAGAAATGCCTGGAACAGATTCAACATGAAGACATAATCATGGGCGCAGTTTGTGACGCATCAGGCAACAATGACAACAAGTCGTGGTTATTTTACTCTGTGCTCAATGTAGAATTTATATATGTCGCTGTACCAAATTGGTCTCGGGTAGATAGACTGTAGTAACATCACATTTGCATTGCAATATGTTAACCAACTGTCATGGTTCTTGTGTGTCTCCAGCAAGTGGCAGTGGAGGGTTTTCCCTCCGGCGTGAACACCTGCTTTCAATTTGATCATCATGATTAAGCCCTGTATTTAAGGACTGCCAAGATCCCATGTCTCTTGTCGGATTATTGACCTTGTTGCTGCTCTTTGCTCTTTCTCAAGTGTTGTTTTCTAGACATCTCGATCTAGTCGTTGTCGCTTTTAGCATCAAAAGTTCATACCAACCCACAATGGTTAGACAGGCAGAGCAAATCCATTCATTCATTTTCTGATCCGCTGATCCTCACAAGGGTCGCGGGGCGCGCTGGAGCCCATCCCAGCTGTCTTCGGGCAGTGGGCGGGGGACACCCTGAACTGGATGCCAGCCAATCGCAAGGCACAAATAGACAAACAACCATCCTAGATTAGAAACATGCGTCTACTCCTTGGACCACGAAAAAAAACAAAAAAACAATGACCTTGGAGTACAACACTTACTTATATTTGTGCAGATAGTAAACTTTGAGGAGCTGGTGTTGACTCAAACTAGCTATATTTCATTGGCTAAGATGGAAAGAACAGCCAAGTAAGAGGAAATTCAAATCTAGGCAACAAGATGGAGAAAAAAACCAGAAGAGTCATATTTTGCGTGTTGGCATGTGGTCAAAGATAAATGCAGTCTAATTATGCCACCATATTTGTACGCAGCGTAAAATAAATAATAGATAGTGATATATAATGATATTATGATGTATTGTAATACACCCAATATTGCACACTGAAAGTCAAAAGTCAACTTCGAATTGACTATGGGTGTCCTCTACTGTACTGGCGCTGATCAGGGATCAGCTGCAATTGACCTGGATTTCTATGTCAAGGGTTCTAACCTGCCGGCCTGTTCAGCTAAGAGGCTCGAAGCAACGGCCATTAGACCAACATCAGTGGGAATTTTTGTCTTTGGATATCATGCCGATACCTTCATTCAGAATTTGGGAGTCGACGAGAGAACAGAACAAGGCCATAATTTACTCCCAAATGTTTGGGTTTTTTTGTGTGTTTCAGATCGAGACAATGCATACTAATCCTCTCCACAACACATGATACGCAGAGATTACACATGGCAAACCCACGACATCTATCACCTACCCGTGGAGTGTCGTGAACAACGTGATACTCCACTTACGCTGCTTTCAAACCAGCCAGGGGATCAGCCAGTCAGCAAATAATCCATTGATTAAATGCTAATATTACCTCTGTGCATTTGATACAGTCCTCATTTCCTTGGCACTTCTGCCTACTGCTGAGAACCGCAGTCTCTAGAGGAACCATAACGCCACAACCCCCCAGCGCGACAGATGTAGCCCATTTGTGACACACACACACACACACACACACACACACACACACACACACACACACACACACACACACACACACACACATAATATCCCTCTCAAAAACCTCCTTTCTAATTTCAGAATTAGTGGAACCGAAGGAAAGGCAGAATCCCTCAAATATGTTCGACTTATTTAGTACCAGCCATTTTCAGACTGTTTTTTTTTTTAAATACCTCAACAGTGATAATTTTCCATTTTGAGCCCTACGAGTCGTTTGAGCCTCGCTGATCAGAAAAGTATGAGTCCCATTATGCATTTAGAGAGTCCCAAATTTCGAATTCTAAAATGCTACTTATTCAATCGCATATGATAGTAACACAAACAACAACAACAATATACATTGATAATAGGTTTATTTCCTATAAAAAAAATGCTGCAAAAATTTAAATAATTCAGGCATACAAGATTATTATCGCAAAAAACTATCCAACTTTAGCTGCTTCCTCTGTGATATCTCCGCAACACTTGTTTTAACGTTACACAACTTGGCAATCGTCTGCTTTCCGCGACGTGAAGGCCGAATCTCGTCTCGCGAGAACAGAAATCTCATCACGCGAGATTACTTAGCACAAGCTCAAAACAACAATGGCGGCGATTATCAAACTGCGATTGTTGCCGGAAAAAATATTTACCGTAGTTTTTTTTTTTTTGCATGAGAAATTTCCTTGCGTCCCAAAAACGCACATTATTTGGAACTGTGCGTCACCCGGGAAAATTGCGCGTCTCAGACGCGGGACGCAGAGGTAACGAGATGGCTGCCTCAAACGCGAGAAAATTGTGCGTCTCGGAAGCGAGACGCAGAGGTAACGAGATGGCTGCCTGAAGTCGTGAAAAAAAAAAATACAAATGGAATTGAATGTATGCAATCCGAAAAGACGTATAAATACGTCTTTGGGAGTGAATGGGTTTTAAAGACGGGTATAAGGGGGAAAAAAATGACGAAAAGACGTATAAAAACGTCTTTGGGAGTGAATGGGTTTTAAAGACAGGTATAAGGGGAAAAAAATGACGAAAAGACGTATAAATATGTCTTTGGGAGTGAATGGGTTTTAAAGACTGGTATAAGGGGGAAAAAATTGACATCAGTACTGTAACGTGATCCTGTCAATGGGCCAAACCATAATGACTAAGACAAGTGCCAATGCACTTAATCCAAGAGTAGACACACACACAAGCATGTCTATACCATATCTAGGTTAACTTTGTCAGGCCAATCTGCTCTGTTTTCTGTATCCTTAATCTCTTCCCCTGCATTGACTCAGAGGGTGGCACAGCCCTTAATACGTACGATAGGAGTCTCATTTCTTTGCGATCGGTGTTTCTGTCCGGTTATAAAAAAAAAAAAAAAAAACGGTAGCAATTCAGGACCACAGAATTAACTGAAAGGTTGCCAAATATGGTGATCTCACACTGCCACAGATGTATTGGATAAAAAGTTCAAATCTTGACGTTCAATTTATTTTTGAGTGACTTATAATGCTAAACCATGTAAAACACAAGGGTCAAACTCAAGGCCTGAGGGCCCAGATGTGGTCCACCACATCATTCTAAGTGGCCCGCAAAAGCAGATCAAAGATGACAACTTACATGATGTTTGACACCCCTGATATAATACCCGAAGGTGTTATGAATGTAAAGCGGTCAGATTTATTTATTTATTTTTTTATTGGGGAGTGAATGATTATCAAAATCATTTCAGATTGTCACAACAGCAGAAATACATTGCAAACGGTCAAAATGACATGTTAGAATATTCACACGTATGGATTTGGTTCAAGACTCTGCTCAAAACCTATATCGATCCAATTCAGGCTGAACTACATTACTGGAACGATAAGTATTGATCAGCTGGTACTATTGGTGGCGGTGAAACCAGCATATTGATCCAGCAGAGGACAGAGAGAGATTAGACCAGTGTGAAAAAGAATGCTGAGATCCAGCTGCACCTCAAAGGGCATTCCCATCTTGATGGGTTGGGGGGGATCCATCCGCCTACCCTTGCCGCTATCCTTCCTCCCCCCCATGCTTTCTTCCCCTCCATTCTGCTCACTGGTGCATGTATTAGTATTGTGTCCCTCTGACCATGTGCTCCTCTCTCAGAGTGAACGAGCCTCAAGTGGTGCAAGGCACCACCCAAAACAACGGTCTAATTGTACCTAACAGCTTCCGACTCAAAACACCAAAATCCATTGAAGGATTGGCAATCATACCCCTTTACCGTCACCACCGACCAAATCACTCACCCCGGCGGCTTGTTTGTTCTACTCGGACGCCAAAAGGCATACGCTATATTTCATCAATTGCGTACGTGTCAAACTGTGATGAATTAATCCGATAGAAGCGCAAGGCTGAGAAGTCTCAGCTGCCTTCGGAGAGGTACAGCCAAAAGACATCAAACACTGTCCACTGCGACCCCCCCACCAAGCCCCCCACCCCTTGTGGGGCAGAGAGACGTTGACCTGAGGGATTGCAGTACAGTGTATCCAACGTACATGCATGCCTGCAGAATAAATTAAAAAAAAACACACAAAAACTGATCTAAATTCAACTTTGTCTGTGCCGGTCCTCGTAAAGGATGTTAACATTCCCTTAAAGTGTAAAGTAAAAAGATTCAAAGCTGGCATTACTACTAAGTTTAGTAGCTTTCTTGAATATTGTGAACTTGTGAACTGATGGCAAAAAAAAAAATGTATCTATATCACTATTGGGAAAAAAAAAAAGAGTAGCAGTGAACGGATCATCTTTTCACCAGCCCATCATTTCCAAACCCAACGGGGGGGATAGACTGGAAAACATACCTGTTTGCCAAACGTACGTGGGTTTCATTCCCACTGCTGCTTGTGCATCCACTTCCCAGATGGAGAGAAAGAGCAGCGCTAACCTCCACAGCAAGGGTACCCTTCTCAGCACCCCGAGCTTCCCAACGGCTCCGCTGGCCAGCCCCATGGCCGCTGCCGCTGCGCGGGAGACACCGTAGTTCCCAATGCCGTCAAGAGAATTAAAAATAAGAAAGCCGAGACACGAGGTGAAGATGAACTCAAGTGCGTGTGCCTTCTTGCGCTTTGCTTTTGTTCACCCCAGTTTATCCACAGAGAGCTAATCCTGATAGATGCCGGACAGAGGACTCCACTTGCTCTTCTCTGGGTCTTTTTGGCTCCTGGCTCCTCAAGGAGGGAGAATCATGTTTGGCACCCAATAACACAAGGAACAATAGATCTCAAAAGCCAGCCTGCTGCTGTATGCTGCGTTGATGCACCAACACCCTAAAAAAAAAATCTTTTCTTCTCTCTCTCTCTCTCTCTCTCTCTCTCTCTCTCTCTCTCTCTCTCTCTCTCTCGCTCTCTGTCTCTCACTCCTCCACATATATACACACACGCCCACCCACTCTACTCTCCCTCCTCCTCCCGCATCCTCCTTTTCAGATCCACTCCAGTCCAAACACACAAGCATCTTCAATTTTTGACAGAGTGATGGAAACATAAACACATTTTCTGTCATTTCAGACAATTATTATTATTATTATTATTATTATTGTTATTATTATTATTATTATCACTATTATTATTATTATTAATTGTCTTAAAAATTGTCTTTGGTAGTGCAATCAAGTATATGCACCCGCTGACGAAAACATCAGATCAATTTGTGCAATTAAATGAGATCAATGTACCAGATTAAAGATTACACTTTACAGTCAACAATGCCTGCTTTTGATTTTATTTTATTTTTTTTTCAGCATTTGTCATTTTATATCAAGTCAGTGCCGGCCCACCAACATGCTTGGGCCGCCCTATTTTATTCATTAAGTTTGTTTTTTTTCATCATGGCTATTTTTGTGTTGTGAAATTCTAATATTGAGTTGCTTATCACTACGGCATTGAAAATATAAAGAAACAGTGATGGGAGTTTTCTTTGACGGATGGATCGTCTTATCTGCAACAGACACTCACGGTCTTATTGGAAATAATGTTCGGAATGCAGGCGCATATATGAGACTAATACGGCAATGTTTGCATGCACATTTTTTTTCCCCATAATGCCACGGGGTATTGACTTAGGCATGCACATAGCCTGTAGCATTATATAGAAATGTGCCAAACAGAAATCATGCACTGCAGATAGAATAATAAAACCATAAAAGTTACTAATAAACAAGGTTTGCTTACGTACCGGTAATTTTTTAATCTTTTTGAATGTTTTCTCCAAATTGGCAGTTCCACGTTTCTGTCTCGAGTTACGTGTAGAATCGTCTTTTACCCTTTCATGCCCCCTATAAACTGATAACATGATGAGCTGTCCACTGTAGTAACCATTGTCCCTGAAAGGGTTAATAGAGATGCACACTTTCATCTTTAAACATTTCTTTATTAAGTTGTTTGCTGCATGTCAAAAGGTGAGACTCATGACATCATACCATTTGTACCTTTTTTTTTTTTTTTGGTTTTCGTGCCGTGACATTTTTGTCACATAAAATATGTGATCAGGTTCAATAAAGGTACATAAAATCTCCAAGGAAATGTGTACTTTGTAAGAAATTCACAACAGGTCTCCCGCTCCTTTGAAGTCAAACAAATGCTCCAGAACAGCCGTATGGAACACGAACGACAACATTTGGATTGAAATTCAATTCTCTTGTGGGGTACGTGACATGTAGTGTTGATTGAGCTTCTCGGTGTTTATTTTGTAGCCTTCCCGATCAGGAACAAAGAGACTATAATCCAAGATTGATGTCAAAGTAAATCATCCCTGAAAGTGGGTTTGGCTAGGTGCAGTACCATGCTTTTGGGTCATCCTGATCCCTCCATTGCGCCCCCCCTCCTTTGGCCTAAGACGAGTAACCTGATTGAGGGGCCAACGCAGTGGGGCATGCTTTTAGAGCCCCCCCCCCCCCCCAAAGACCCACTTCAGGCTGTCTGCTTGTATACTCCAAAAGAGGATTTAACGGAGTTATTACACAAAATGTCAACACAATCTCAACATAAATCGGGTCATGGTATCAGAGCTAGGTCTAAATATTTGTGAACCCGCTTACCTGCCAATACCTATCACGCTGTTTTGGACTAAGTGATTGAATTTGCACCTTGTGTGGGTTTGTCGATGGTCTCCGTGATATAAAGGACAAAATCATCTGAAAAGTGCTTGAATTAGTGATGTGTGAACTCACAAATGCCGCGCATGACATCACACGAGATATCATTCTCATCTGCCGTCTGTCTAATAAGCATCAAAGGACAAACCCAGCAGATTTTTTTTTTTTTACTTTGGCGGCCTTTTTGCGACACAAAATGAGCACCGTATTCAACAAGAACTATGTGCAAATCAGTGCTTCACATTAAATGTTGAAAGCTCTACATCTACAATTTAAAGGTAATGGTAGTGTCAGGTTCGAAATGAAGCAAATAATGTTTCGGATCTCATCAATAGAGACACCAAACAAAACTGTAACAAAAATAGTTATTTGCAAAAACAAAAGTACACCGACAAAGTATGAACAAAAATTGCTGGTCAAATAGAACCAGGAGAGAAACAATACAATAACAAAAAGTGCTTGCAAAAGGCAAGGAATTAGTTAAACCCAGACAACCAACGAAATGTCAAGAATCCAATTTACACGTAGAACAAAAGTCAAATGACAACACACGGACTGTGCTTACAAAAATGGGGCACTAAGGGAACAAGAACGACTATGATGAGAGCAAGAGGTCTAGAAAACAATTTACTTGAGCAAAAGCAGCAAAAAGGTTAGCCGACAAACTGCAGGCGGTTTATCAGTCCTTAAATACATGGCTAATGAAACGTGGCAGCAGGTGTACGCACTGAAGGGAAAGCCCCCGTCTGCCACATGATGGAGACACACAAGAACAGGATCATGAGAGTTAAACGACATTATTTTATTGCTCGTTTAATAACACTGGTTAACCTCTTTTTTCATGTATTGTATACCAATTAAATATTACCAATTCATTCGAGTAGAAAGGGAAATGCTTAGGGTGCTTGAGTTTGTGACGTTCTTTCTTTTGATTTCTTTCTTTCAGATTTTATGACCATTAAGAATGGTAAGATGTCGAATGATATTTGCATCATCTGGAGCATTTCTGGACCACCAAGGCATCCGGGCAAGAAGGACCATACAGGCCCATCTAAAAATGAAATCAAATAACAAGCTACAAACACTGAGAGCAAATAAAAGAAACTATAATGATATAAACTATGCTTTAATATGTCCATCCAAAGAAATTATTTAATTCTGGTTGGAAAAATTAACTCTTTCAGGGAAAACGGTTACTAGAGTGGACAGCTATTCAAATGTTGTTTTCTCTTATATTAATTCATCTTCATGCCACAGTTGTGCATCAACCACTACAATGGACCCTTACGTGTGTTTCCATCCCCTGCCATTATTTTTTTCATGCCTAAAGACGAATAAAAACACTTGAGAAAAAAAAAATCCTGATTTAGTTTAGCATTATTTGTGCATGAAAGGGTTAAAGAACTTTGCCATCAACATTTCAATAAGTCATGCTAACGTTTTGTTTAAGGTAGCGTTTACCAGATACCAGGAAATGAACAGCGATGCAGCACTGTTGTCCAACAAGCGTGCGATTCTTGGAAATTTCCAAATTGCGATGTGTCATTGCGGTGTCGGGTTCCAGTTGTGTTATTGATATGGATCAATTCCTGCAATATTTCAACGCTCCCTACTAGCCACGAGAAACAGCAAGTCAGAGGCTTTGTCATTGTCTGTGGGCCTTTTCAAAAGATCTAAAACCAAAATTCGTCGATAATTTGTAGAGAGGTCAAAACAATAGCCAACTGTCATGTCGGTAATTTAGTGACAGTGACAGAAGTGTGCGGTCTGTAGCTTAAGTCCAAAGGAAATATGCCTGACACAACAAGCTATGCCGCTCAGGGGTGGAAACGGTTGCGCATCCCTCTCACTTTGACAACTCTCCCGAGAGCACAAACAAACACAGCCTGCGGGTCAGATCTGGCCCTCCAATTTCATTTCACGTGACACATGATAGCTTGCCACAGTTTTAGCTTTCTTTTCAAAATCAGCCTCAAACATGATAACCAAATGATGGGGCCGTTATGTTATTTGACGGGGTGCATATAAAGGTTACTACACAGAACATAAGGAACAAGAGAGTGAACTGCCTGCAGCTTTGGCCGCTCCTCTGGAAATAAACGTAGCTCAACTCTTAGCTAGCAGGTGTCACGGATGCTATATGTTGAAAGAAAGAAAAATGGTGGCACCTCGTGGAGGCCAAGCAATTTAAAAATGTTTTTACAATATATGAATTCAGTTTGTCATGAATGTTGGACCACTGATTTTGCACTTAACTAAAAATTAAAGATTCGAATGTCATTTAATGTAGTGCTGTTTAGCCAAAGATCAGCAGTTTTGCATACTGTCCCCGTATTGCATCCATGTGAACTGGACCATAACCTGGCAAGCAACATACATAACGCACTATGAATTTTGGTATACGATTACACCCCTAGCAATGATGCATTTATGTGGTTTCAGCGCATTAACAGGCCCCCTAAGGGCAACAATATCCATGAGATGAAAGAAAAAAAAGTTACACCCTTACCCTTGTGTCTTCCCTTAGTCGTCTACTAAAAGTAATAATTAAAAAAAAAACAAATAAACAAAAAAATGAATATACACAATGGGAATGGAGTGGGACACATAGGACCACACACTTCCTAACCAGATGTATGACAAAATTCTACTTGAACAATGGACAAAATATATGCAGACGTGCAAAATACATGCTCGTGATATATTTCATTTTTGATATTATTTTTCCGATTGCATGTATAAAAAAACCCCACTATTCTTACCCAACAAGAAAGGGTTTTAAGCAAACAACTAAATGGACACATACGGTATTTTGCAAAGGGCTCTTTTGCATAATAATTACCATTCAGGGACAGCACAAAACTGCTGAACAGGAAACAATCGTTGAGTGCAAGAATTTGAGCATTTGTTTCCCACCAAAATCGAATCACTCAAAATCACTCACTACGTTTGTCCTGCATATCGTTCCAAATCTGCCCCAAAAAATATTTGACCTACACACGCAGTATGGGGCAGTATAAGACCCTCTGTAAATGAAAGGTATGTCTGCCACCTTGTGGTGACTGGTGATATTACAACTTAAACTCAAAGTCCATCCCTGCATATTCATAATTGGCATGGACAGATTTGCATGTGCACAAATTTTTTTTTCCGGATTTTTTTTTCCCATGG